ACACACAAAGTCACCAGCGACACAAACAAAGTCACCAGCAACACAAACACAAAGTCACCAGCAACACAAACACACAAAGTCACCAGCAACACAAACACACAAAGTCACCAGCAACACAAACACACAAAGGCACCAGCAACACAACAACACACAAAGCCACCAGCAACACAAACACACAAAGTCACCAGCAACACAAACACACAAAGTCACCAGAAACACAAACAAACAAAGTCACCAGCAACACAAACAAACAAAGTCACCAGCAACACGAACACACAAAGTCACCAGCAACACAAACAAACAAAGTCACCAGCAACACAACAACACACAAAGCCACCAGCAACACAAACACACAAAGCCACCAGCAACACAAACACACAAAGTCACCAGCAACACAAACACACAAAGTCACCAGCAACACAAACACACAAAGCCACCAGCAACACAACAACACACAAAGTCACCAGCAACACAAACACACAAAGTCACCAGCAACACAAACACACAAGTCACCAGCAACACAAACACACAAAGTCACCAGCAACACAACAACACACAAAGTCACCAGCAACACAACAACACACAAAGTCACCACAAACACACAAAGTCACCAACAACACACAAAGTCACCAGCAACACAACAACACACAAAGTCACCAGAAACACAAACAAACAAAGTCACCAGCAACACGAACACACAAAGTCACCAGCAACACAAACAAAGTCACCAGCAACACAACAACACACAAAGCCACCAGCAACACAAACACACAAAGCCACCAGCAACACAAACACACAAAGTCACCAGCAACACAAACACACAAAGTCACCAGCAACACAGACACACAAAGTCGCCGGCAACACAAACACACAAAGTCACCAGCAACAAAAACACACAAAGTCACCAGCGACACAAACAAAGTCACCAGCAACACAAACACACAAAGTCACCAGCGACACAAACAAAGTCACCAGCAACACAAACGCATAAAGTCACCAGCAACACAAACGCACAAAGTCACCAGCAACACAAACGCACAAAGTCACCGGCAACACAAACACACAAAGTCACCAGCGACACAAACAAAGTCACCAGCAACACAAACACACAAAGTCACCAGCGACACAAACAAAGTCACCAGCAACACAAACGCATAAAGTCACCAGCAACACAAACGCACAAAGCCACCAGCAACACAAACGCACAAAGTCACCGGCAACACAAACACACAAAGTCACCAGCAACACAAACACACAAAGTCACCGGCAACACAAATGCACAAAGTCACCAGCAACACAAACGCACAAAGTCACCAGCAACACAAACACACAAAGTCACCGGCAACACAAACGCACAAAGTCACCAGCAACACAAACACACAAAGTCACCAGCGACACAAACAAAGTCACCAGCAACACAAACACACAAAGTCACCAGCGACACAAACAAAGTCACCAGCAACACAAACGCATAAAGTCACCAGCAACACAAACGCACAAAGTCACCAGCAACACAAACACACAAAGTCACCAGCAACACAAACGCACAAATCACCAGCAACACAAACGCACAAAGTCACCGGCAACACAAACACACAAAGTCACCAGCGACACAAACAAAGTCACCAGCAACACAAACACACAAAGTCACCAGCGACACAAAGTCACCAGCAACACAAACACACAAAGTCACCAGCGACACAAACACACAAAGTCACCAGCAACACAAACGCACAAAGTCAACAGCAACACAAACACACAAAGTCACCAGCAACACAAACACACAAAGTCACCGGCAATACAAACACACAAAGTCACCAGCAACACAAACACACAAAGTCACCAGCGACACAAACACACAAAGTTGCCAGCAACACAAACACACAAAGTCACCAGCAACACAAACACACAATGTCACCAGCAACACAAACACACAAAGTCACCAGCAACACGAACACACAAAGTCACCGGCAACACAAACGCACAAAGTCACCAGCAACACAACAACACACAAAGTCACCGGCAACACAAACACACAAAGTCACCAGCGACACACACACACAAAGTCACCAGCAACACAAACGCACAAAGTCACCAGCAACACAGACACACAAAGTCACCGGCAACACGAACACACAAAGTCACCGGCAACACAAACGCACAAAGTTACCAGCAACACAAACGCACAAAGTCACCAGCAACACGAATAATCGCTATAAATCCACGCGTTGTGGCGCTAAATGCAGCGCGCACAACACGAAAGAAAAGTCACGTGGTGCTGGTGGTGGTGATCGCGCACGCCAAAGTGATCTCTCTGGTGTGGACCAATCAGGGTCAAAGACAATGCATTGACTATTTGAGCATAGGTTTTGTGGGTTCGCGTGTTCACCACAAGTACATGTGGCTAATGCGGACATGCTTCCTTGCAAAAGGTTTCTGTTTGGTGTTTCAACATCTTAACACAACTGTGTCATTGCCAGAAAGGGTTAAACCTATTCTCACAAGAGCTTTATAGCTCATCGGATTCCTCCAGTATAAATATTCTGCTTGTGGTGTTGGCCGAGAGCTCGCTTGCCCCTAACAGTCTGTCAAGAGGCGATACGGGGCGCCTTTGTCTTTGGTGGGGGGAGCGGTGGCGCAGCGGTTAGCACACTGCGCTTCGAACCCGGCCACCCGAGTTCGATTCACACCGGCGACGATTATCTAAGCCGGTGCTGGGCCTCCCCTAGGTAGACTCGGCCTCAAATGAGTACCCGGTGCGGTGTGTAAACATCGCCACTGGGGAGACAAAAGCGGCCGGGCGTGGTGCTGGCCACCCACCCCCTCGTGTGCCGTGCCGGCCTTCATAGGTGCTGCTCGCTCACAGTACTTGCCCCTACAGTCTGTTAAGGCTACACGGGGGATCTTTGTCTTTGTACAGTCATTGTCCTCTCGTCGCTCCACTGCTGGATCAGGGCCTCTCTCTCAGTGTCATCATCGTGGTCTATCCACTGCTGGAATAATATCAGTGTAACGATGTCTCTACTCTGTGTGGTCTCTCATCCACGTGTCTCTCTCTCTCTCTCTGTGTCTCAGTGTCACCATCGTGGTCTATCCACTGCTGGAGTAATATCAGTGTCACGATGTCTCTACCCTGCGTGTGGTCTCTCATCCACGTGTCTCTCTCTGTGTCTCTCAGTGTCATCATCGTGGTCTATCCACTGCTGGAGTAATATCAGTGTCACGATGTCTCCACCCTGCGTGTCTTCTCTCATCCACGTGTCTCTCTCTCTCTGTGTGTCTCTCAGTGTCATCATCGTGGTCTATCCACTGCTGGAGTAATATCAGTGTCACGATGTCTCTACCCTGCGTGTCTTCTCTCATCCACGTGTGTCTCTCTGTGTCTCAGTGTCACCATCGTGGTCTATCCACTGCTGGAGTAATATCAGTGTCACGATGTCTCTACCCTGCGTGTGGTCTCTCATCCACGTGTCTCTCTCTCTGTCTCAGTGTCATCATCGTGGTCTATCCACTGCTGGAGTAATATCAGTGTCACGATGTCTCTACCCTGCGTGTCTTCTCTCATCCACGTGTCTCTCTCTCTGTGTCTCAGTGTCATCATCGTGGTCTATCCACTGCTGGAGTAATATCAGTGTCACGATGTCTCTACCCTGTGTGGTCTCTCATCCACGTGTCTCTCTCTGTCTCAGTGTCATCATCGTGGTCTATCCACTGCTGGAGTAATATCAGTGTCACGATGTCTCTACCCTGCGTGTCTTCTCTCATCCACGTGTCTCTCTCTGTGTCTCTCAGTGTCATCATCGTGGTCTATCCACTGCTGGAGTAATATCAGTGTCACGATGTCTCTACCCTGCGTGTCTTCTCTCATCCACGTGTCTCTCTCTCTGTGTCTCTCAGTGTCACCATCGTGGTCTATCCACTGCTGGAGTAATATCAGTGTCACGATGTCTCTACCCTGCGTGTGGTCTCTCATCCACGTGTCTCTCTCTCTGTGTCATCATCGTGGTCTATCCACTGCTGGAGTAACATCAGTGTCACGATGTCTCTACCCTGCGTGTCTTCTCTCATCCACGTGTCTCTCTCTGTGTGTCTCAGTGTCACCATCGTGGTCTATCTACTGCTGGAGTAATATCAGTGTCACGATGTCTCTACCCTGCGTGTCTTCTCTCATCCACGTGTCTCTCTCTCTGTCTCTCAGTGTCATCATCGTGGTCTATCCACTGCTGGAGTAATATCAGTGTCACGATGTCTCTACCCTGCGTGTCTTCTCTCATCCACGTGTCTCTCTCTCTGTCTCTCAGTGTCATCATCGTGGTCTATCCACTGCTGGAGTAATATCAGTGTCACGATGTCTCTACCCTGCGTGTCTTCTCTCATCCACGTGTCTCTCTCTGTGTCTCTCAGTGTCATCATCGTGGTCTATCCACTGCTGGAGTAACATCAGTGTCACGACGTCTCTACCCTGCGTGTCTTCTCTCATCCACGTGTCTCTCTCTCTCTGTCTCAGTGTCATCATCGTGGTCTATCCACTGCTGGAGTAATATCAGTGTCACGATGTCTCTACCCTGCGTGTCTTCTCTCATCCACTTTGCCGAGGCAGACCGTAGCACGATATTCGTCGCCACGTTTAAATCTTTAAGCAACGTTGCATTTTAGACGTTTAAAATAAAAGTGTTATAAGTTATGGACGGCGTTTTAAATAACGCGTTTATTATTAAACATGTCCTTAATTACAATCTACGACATTACGTCGACGTTTGATAATTTGACAACGTATTTAAATGCAGGTTATTTTATTCACATGTTGGATAATTTAACTTTGTTCATCAGCTGTTAATGATCAAACATACACAATACTGCGAAAAATCAAACGTAAAGTATATACACAATGGAACATAACAACACATAGCGTGCATCACGTGTATATATATACATTAATTAAATATGAATGATATTCAGTATGTGTGCGTTAGACGAGATTTGTCGAACAATCTTCTTACCCGGTGTCAACGTTGGGCGTGCGTCTTACATTCGGGAGCGTCTTATAATCCCGAATGCCCACTGATAGTAGTGATGCTAACAATGATGATGACAGCTAAACTAATATTACTCTTTGGTTCTGTCGGTAAAGCCACGTAGGTATAAAATACCTAATCAACATTTAAACTAATATTGTTCGTACACTGTTCGTGGGTAGCCTCACCTCGTCGGAGTTGGAGCATTGAATGATGCCAACTTGAGACTCGAGTAGGAGAGAGGAGGGGGGCAGATGAAGGGAGGAGAGAGGTGAGAGGGAGTGGAGGGGGTTGAGAGGAGAGGGTTGAGAGGGAGGGGAGAGAGGGGGGAGAGTTTAGAGAGATAGGGAGAGTGTAGAGAGGGAGGGGAGAGTTTAGAGAGAGGGGGGAGAGTTAAGAGAGAGGAGGGAGAGTTTAGAGAGAGGGGGGAGAGTTTAGAGAGAGGGGAGAGAGTGTAGAGAGGGAGGGGAGAGAGGGGGGAGAGTTTAGAGAGAGAGGGGGGAGAGTTTAGAGAGAGGGGGGAGAGTGTAGAGAGGGAGGGGAGAGAGGGGGGAGAGTTTAGAGAGGGATGGGAGAGTTTAGAGAGAGGGGGGAGAGTTTAGAGAGAGGGGAGAGAGGGGGAGAGTGTAGAGAGGGAGGGGAGAGAGGGGGGAGAGTTTAGAGAGAGAGGGGGGAGAGTTTAGAGAGAGGGGGGAGAGTGTAGAGAGGGAGGGGAGAGAGGGGGGAGAGTTTAGAGAGGGATGGGAGAGTTTAGAGAGAGGGGGGAGAGTTTAGAGAGAGGGGAGAGAGGGGGAGAGTGTAGAGAGGGAGGGGAGAGAGGGGGGAGAGTTTAGAGAGGGATGGGAGAGTTTAGAGAGAGGGGGGAGAGTTTAGAGAGAGGGGAGAGAGGGGGAGAGTGTAGAGAGGGAGGGGAGAGAGGGGGGATAGTTTAGAGAGAGAGGGGGGAGAGTTTAGAGAGGGAGGGGAGAGAGGGGGGAGAGTTTAGAGAGGGATGGGAGAGTTTAGAGAGAGGGGGGAGAGTTTAGAGAGAGGGGAGAGAGGGGGAGAGTGTAGAGAGGGAGGGGAGAGAGGGGGGAGAGTTTAGAGAGGGATGGGAGAGTTTAGAGAGAGGGGGGAGAGTTTAGAGAGAGGAGAGAGAGGGAGGAGAGTGTAGAGAGGGAGGGGAGAGAGGGGGGAGAGTTTAGAGAAGGATGGGAGAGTTTAGAGGGAGGGGGGAGAGTTTAGAGAGAGGGGGAGAGTGTAGAGAGAGAGGGGAGAGAGTAGAGAGAGAGGGGGGAGAGTAGAGAGAGAGGGGAGAGAGTAGAGAGAGAGGGGGGAGAGTAGAGAGAGAGGGGAGAGAGTTTAGAGAGGGGGAGAGTGTAGAGAGGGGAGAGAGTAGAGAGAGAGGGGAGAGAGTTTAGAGAGAGGGGGAGAGTGTAGAGAGGGATGGGAGAGAGGGATGGGAGAGTTTAGAGAGAGGGGGGAGTAGAGAGAGAGCGGGGAGAGTTTAGAGAGAGGGGGGAGAGTTTAAAGAGAGGGGAGAGAGTTTAAAGAGAGGGTGAGAGAGTGAGGGGGGAGAGTAGAGAGAGGGGGGAGAGAGGGGGGAGAGTTTAGAGAGATGGTGAGAGAGAGGAGGGGAGAGAGGGGAGAGAGAGGGGGGAGAGTTTAGAGAGATGGTGAGAGAGAGGAGGGGAGAGAGGGGGGAGAGTAGAGAGAGTAGAGAGAGAGAGGAGAGAGAGAGTTTAGAGAGAGGGGGGAGAGTTTAGAGAGAGAGGGGGGAGAGTTTAGAGAGAGGGGGGAGAGTTTAGAGAGAGAGAGGGTGAGAGGGGGGAGAGTAGAGAGAGGGGGGAGAGAGAGGGGGGAGAGTTTAGAGAGGGTGAGAGGGGGGGGAGTAGAGAGAGGGGGGAGAGAGGGGGGAGAGTTTAGAGAGAGAGGGGGGAGAGAGAGGGGGGAGAGTAGAGAGAGGGGGGAGAGTTTAGAGAGAGTTTAGAGAGAGGAGGGAGAGTTTAGAGAGAGGGTGAGTGTTGAGAGAATGTGAATAATAGTGAATGCATAAATGTGAATGAGTGAGAAAATGTGAATGACTTCCAATATGAATGAGACGTGAACGAATGAGACAATGTGAATGAGTGAGATAACGTAGAGAATGAATCACGGGGCCTGGAGCAGCGTGACTGCAGACGACACGGGCGTAGAACCAGCAGCGCCACTCCCTCGTGCGCCGTGCCGGCCTTCAGAGGTGCTACTCGCTCACGGCACTTGCCCCACTGGTCTGTTGAGGCTATACGGGGAATCTTTGTCTTTGTCTGTGTGAAAGTGGCGAGCGGTCCGAACCCAATGACTCGGCTTCGATTCCCTGCTCACGATCAACACTGGTGACGATTATCTGAACCGGGCCTGGACAACCCCTAGGTCGACTCAGCCTCAAATGAGTACCTCGTGTGGCGTGTAAACATCGCCACTGGGGAAACAAAGGCGGCCGGGCGTGGTGCTGGCCACCCACCCCCTCGTGCGCAACGTGCCGGCCTTCATAGGGGCTCGCTAACAGCACTTGCCCCTACAGTCTGTGAAGGCTATATGACAAGTGGAACAATAGAATCTCACCCAGATGGAGTGAAACAATACAATCTCACCTAGATGGAGTGGAACAACAGAATATCACCCAGATGGAGTGGAACAATAGAATCTCACCCACTCGGAGTGGGACAATAGAATATCACCCACTTGGAGTGGAACAATAGAATCTCACCCACTTGGAGTGGAACAATAGAATATCACCCACTTGGAGTGGAACAATAGAACTCACCCAGATGGAGTGAAACAATAGAATCTCACCCACATGGAGTGAAACAATAGAATCTAACCCACTTGGAGTGAAACAATAGAATATCACCCAGATGGAGTGGAACAATAGAATATCACCCAGATGGAGTGGGACAATAGAATATCACCCAGATGGAGTAGAACAACAGAATATCACCCAGATGGAGTGGAACAATAGAATATCACCCAGATGGAGTGGAACAACAGAATATCACCCATATGGAGTGGAACAACAGAATATCACCCAGATGGAGTGGAACAACAGAATATCACCCAGATGGAGTGGAACAACAGAATATCACCCAGATGGAGTGGAACAACAGAATATCACCCAGATGGAGTGGAACAATAGAATATCACCCAGATGGAGTGGAACAATAGAATCTCACCCACTCGGAGTGGAACAATAGAATCTCACCCACATGGAGTGAAACAATAGAATCTAACCCACTTGGAGTGAAATAATGGAATATCACCCAGATGGAGTGGAACAATAGAATATCACCCAGATGGAGTGGGACAATAGAATATCACCCAGATGGAGTGGAACAATAGAATATCACCCACTTGGAGTGGAACAATAGAATATCACCCAGATGGAGTGGAACAATAAAATCTCACCCAGATGGAGCGGGACAATAGAATATCACCCAGATGGAGTGGAACAATAGAATATCACCCAGATGGAGTGGAACAATAGAATATCACCCAGATGGAGTGGAACAATAGAATGTCACCCAGACGGAGTGGAACAATAGAATCTCACCCAGATGGAGTGGAACAATAGAATGTCACCCAGATGGAGTGGAACAACAGAATATCACCCAGACGGAGTGAAACAATAGAATATCACCCAGACGGAGTGGAACAATAGAATCTCACCCAGATGGAGTGGAACAATAGAATGTCACCCAGATGGAGTGCAACAATAGAATCTCACCCAGATGGAGTGGAACAATAGAATATCACCCAGATGGAGTGGAACAATAGAATCTCACCCAGATGGAGTGGGACAATAGAATCTCACCCAGATGGAGTGGAACAATAGAATCTCACCAACATGGAGTGTAACAATAGAATATCACCCAGATGGAGTGGATCAATAGAATATCGCCCAGATGGAGTGGAACAATAGAATCTCACCCAGATGGAGTGGAACAATAGAATATCACCCAGATGGAGTGGAACAATAGAATATCACCCAGATGGAGTGGAACAATAGAATGTCACCCAGATGGAGTGGAACAATAGAATCTCACCCAGATGGAGTGGAACAATAGAATCTCACCAACATGGAGTGCAACAATAGAATATCACCCAGAGGGAGTGAAATAATAGAATATCACCCGGAGGGAGTGACACAATATAGAGACCCATAGACTCACGTAGAGACCTATATTCTCATAGAGACCCACAGACTCACGCAGAGAACCACAGACTTAGTCAGAAACCCATAGAGACCCATAGCATCACACTCAGAGACCCATAAACTCACACAGAGACCCATACATAGAGACCCACAGACCCACTTAGAGACCCATAGACTCAGACGCATAGACTCACACAGAGACCCATACACAGAGATCCACAGACTCACTCAGAGACCCATAGACTCACATATAGACCCATAGACTCACACAGAGACCTATAGACTCACACAGAGACCCACAGACTCACTTAGAGACCTATAGACTCACACAGAGACCCATACACAGAGATCCACAGACTCACTCAGAGACTCATAGACTCACATATAGACCCATAGACTCACACAGAGACCCATAGACTAACATATAGACCCAAAGACTCACACAGAGACCCATAGACTCACACATAGACTCACTGAGGCAAGGGAGGAATGCATGAGGATGGGGGGGAGGCCCGTGCCCACCAGCGACTCGCTGGCAGCAGCAGCACCAGCACAGTTTAGTGGGAGCCCACGTGGGAATGTGAGGGTGGAGCCGTGTGATGGGAAGGCGCTGGACGAGACCCAGCAGAGAGCTCTGATCTCCTATCTAATTCCTCGGCTTGCGGCTCATAATCCTCCCATTAAGGCATCGAGTTATTTGGGAAGCCTCTGCATCGTGTTACATTCCTGGTTAATGCTCTGTAGGATTGTGTCCAATCAGACACAGACCTTACTCACTTCCAACACAGTCTCTGTGCCTAAGCACTCAACTCCAACAGTCTCTGTAGCTAACCACTCAACTCCAACACAGTCTCTGTAGCTAACCACTCAACTCCAACACAGTCTCTGTAGCTAACCACTCAACTCCAACACAGTCTCTGTAGCTAACCACTCAACTCCAAAACTCTGTAGCTAACCACTCAACTCCAACACAGTCTCTGTGCTTAACCACTCAACTCCAACACAGTCTCTGTGTCTAACCACTCAACTCCAACACAGTCTCTGTAGCTAACCACTCAACTCCAACACAGTCTCTGTAGCTAACCACTCAACTCCAATAGTCTCT